GGGCATGACCTGGTGGTGTCAGCTCCACCAGCTCCCTGCTGAACCATGCCTCTGGTGTCAGAGCTCCTGAGGTTTGCACAGCCTGCCTGCTCTGGGCTGCCAGTGGTGCTGGCTGTGCTGCAGAGGCCCTCTGTCCTTGCTCAGAGTCCCCCTGGTCCCCCTGTGCTGCCAGCAGAGCCTGTTGGTGGAGGTGTGCTGGAAGCTGCAGCTCCTCAGAACTGTCTGAGGTTGCCCATTTTTTTGGGGTTGCTGCTCATATTGCATTCTTCAGGTGAAGGAATGCTGACTGAGTTCTTGATAGTCCTATTCTTTTTTTAAATTATTATTTCTAGGCTTTGTTTCTGGCTCTTTCAAAACTCTTCATCAGTATGATTACTCTTCCTCCTGCCTTCCAGCTCTCTAGGCTGTGATTTGTCTTAATTAGAGCTTTGTATTCCCAACCAGTCTGGTAGAATTAGGGGTTTCCACCAACTAATTTTTTTGGCCTTTTGATCAAAGCACTGATGTCTTTATTTGGAAGTAGACACGTTAAAGAGGTGATCAGTGGAGGCTGCAAGCACAGCATTACCCATGCAGGTGATTCCTCTATGGAGGGAGTGCTGGTTTCCTCCCAAGGACTTGCTCTTGGCCTGGCTGTGCCATGATTGCTTCCATCCTGCCTTTTTGCATGAAGGTGGTACTTCTAAGGACCGTGTAACCTTAATTCTCAAGGAGAAACCTGATGCTGCAATTGTGAAAAAGCTTTCCCTGTCGGACTCAAACATCTGCAGCCACTTCCTTCCCCAGAGAGCAGCAGGAAGCACAGCCCTCTGCTTCCCCCAGGCTCTCCCTCTGCAGTCAGCAGGCAGGTCTGAGCTCGTGCAGGAGATGCAAACGTTGGTGCAGACATATTCATTCCTGCTCCGGATTGAGCAATCACCAGAGGCGTTCCCATAAGAGTTGGTTTGGCTGAAACACAGGTCTGATTATTTTTTTTTTTTCAGTTGGAACAGAAAATTGCTTATGCAACTTTTTATTATAACGCGCTCTGCTACAAACAGGTTCTAAAGCAAACTTGACTTCCCATGGCTGAGCACTAGCAAGAGTATTTTCTGAGCATTATGGGACTTCTAGAAAAACGTGGATTCAAACAAACCCTGTGTTAAGACGGGCTGGACATGTGAAGTTATGCAACTCGACGTGAAATTTCTGATGGTAGGAAATAACTGAATTTCTGATGGTAGGAAATAACTGTAGAAAGAAGCTAGCAAGCTGTAGTTCAGTCTCTCAGCAGATGTCTGGAGAAGGCAGCAGGGCTGTGACATGGGACAGAGCTGTACTGGAGGCTGTCTGCTTTGCAGCACTGCTGACATCCCACGAGTGCTGGTGCTGCAGAGCAGCAGTGCCTGTGCATTCTGCACCATTAGTGCTCAGCAGGCAAAGACTGGTGCTGCAGTGTGACAGGGCATTGTGAGGCAGAACATCCTGCCAGGTGGGGCTCTGGGGGGGATGCAGCCACACTTCAAGCCCTCATAACCTCATTCATGATCACTATGGTTGGACTGCAGTCATTTTTTCATCCATCTAAAGAGCGTTGGGGTGGGGAGAGCTGTTGCTGAGGCTGGTGGCACCCCTGGTTTCCCATCTTAAACTTTTTTAATTTTCTAGGTACTTTTGCATAAGTGATATGGACCTGTTGCAATAGGGAATGGGTTTTAGAAAATAGGTTTTGAAAACCCTTAGAGAGAGCTGTGCAGAAGATGAGAATAATGAATGCATTTAAATCTTCATTCTGAAGCATCCTTCTAGCATAATTACGGCGCACCTCAGTGCTTGGAATCAGAATGATTGCACCAAGAATGGCACGGGACGCTGCTCCATCGCAGGGCAGAGCAGTGCAATTAGTGCATAGCACGTTCCTTGCTGTACTTCAGTGGTAAAAGGGAAAGCATGAAAGCAGCAGCAGTGCCGTTTCAAAGGCTCCCCTGGGTATATGTGACCCCTGACCTGGGAGGTTTGCTCCCTGCCTGCTGGCTCTCAGAAGCTGGGCTGCCCAACACAGAGCCCATGGGGTGTGCTGCGTTGGGGCACTGCCTTGTGCTCACATCAAGGGCAGCTCAAAGCTGGGGCTGTGCAGAGAAGTGCTGCGCACAAAAACCCACAAAAGCGTTTAGCTTCTGCCTCTGAACTCTGGGATTTTGCAGCAGATTTGCAGCATTCAATTCCGTATGGCTGTGGCAGTGCGGTAAGAGCGGTTGGTGCTGCAGTGCCTGATCCTCAGCCATCCTCACTGCTGGCCTGGCTGCTCCCTGGCAGCTCAGCCCCTTTGCTCACCGTGCCATGGTCCTTCATTGCGTGATGAAGGCAGGTGACCAAACAGGGGATAGGCGTGTTCCTTCATTGCAGGACCTGTTGTTGGCAGCCTTCCTCCTGTTCCTTTCTCATCTTCACCCCTGAACTGCTCTCTGCAGTGCTGCTCTCGGCCCCGACCCTCCAACCTCCCCTTTCCTTAGAACCACAGGGACGAAGCCTTTGGAGCTGACCCACCTCTCTGTGCTCTGCTGGGATCAGTGGGTGCTGGTGCTGCCCTGCTCTGCTAGAGAGGTTTCTGCCTCTTTGATATTCTGTTGCAGGCTTCCATCTCTCCCTGACCAGCCCCTGTTTACTTTTCAGAATACAACGTTGCCATGGCAACAGGTTACTTTTCAAAGGGAACATCTTGTCATTATATTTAATCCACTGCAGCTGAAGAGGACTGAAATATTAAGTTGTTGTTGCTATGGATACTGCTTTGTTACATCAGTTTCTTTTGTGTCAGATTTCATATACCGTGTTGGGTCCTCTTTTTTTTTCCTTCCCATAGAATAAACACGGAGCGCCTCACCATTATGATTGTAATTGTGCTCCACCAATATAATTTGGCTTACAACTCTATGGTACGTTTTAGTTTCCATAGCAAGAATTTTTCTTTCCGTTTGCAAATCCATTCCTGGGGAGATGGAAACTGTCTGAAAGTATTGGACATGTGTGCCCTTGGAGCAGGCAGCTCCCATGGTCTGACCACCCCCTGCCCAGTGCTCACTGTTCTGCACAGCCCTTACCTACCTGGGGTCCCCTTGGGGTGGGAATGCCATCAGCAGATGCTGAGTTGGATGATGGAGGCACACAGGGCCATTTCTCCCCTGCCACGGTGTTGTCACGGTTACAAGAATCACCCCATCCAAGATTTTGCTTTTATCTTTGCAGTTCCTTGTAGGGTGGTAGGGCATGTGCAGTCTTGATTCTGAGATGCTGTATTATTAATATTCAGTGTCATGCAAATGGGGAGATGGGGGAGAATTTGGAGTGCTGGGTTTTTTGTTGGTTTTTTTTTTCCCTACCTAAACCAAAAATTGTGAACTTTGCACAAATACGTTCTGTTTTTCAGCAGCCTTTGGCTTTGGTGAAGGATCGTAGCTGGCAGGAACTGCACAGACATGTCTCAAGCCTGACTTGCAGTGACTAGCAGAGATGTGTATGGCTTTAGAACCTGTGCTTGGAAGTAAAGCAAGAGCATCAGCATTTGTTGTTGCCTTTCTTGCCTTACAGGGAAGAATTCTGACGCATTACAGCTGTAAAAGTGCATATTTCATTTATAACTTGGTTGTAAATACAAACCCTGCTCTCTGAGCTCAGTCATTTCTCTGCATAACCTGCAAATGAGAGGACAGTGTCAGATCTCATCTCACAGAAGTATCCATTGGAGAAGGTTCTTAGGAGCCTTCTGGCATGTGCTGCTGGGGAGCAGGTTGGTGTAGCAGGAAGGCAGCATCGTGCAGACACCAGAGCATAGGGCTGACTGTTACAAAACCAGTTTCAATTCCTGCCTGACAGCTCCTCCTGTCACGTTCTCTTCGATAAGGTCCGTTCAGATGCATTGCTGTAGTTTCCCCACTTGGGAATAAGATCTCAGAATGATCAGTGAGGTGAAGCTTAGTGCACGCTTTCATCTCAAAATGTCAAAATACATTGCAGATGTTCATAAAGGCATGCAGATATCCATGTCAGAAAACCCTCTGGTTTTAACATGTAGCATTGCTTGCTGCTGTGGGTGGTTAGCCTGGTGCAGGGCTGGCACTTTCTGGTTGTGGGTTTGAATTTCTGTGGTTTAAAATAAACCATTTCTCTTCATCACTTCGCATCACCACGAACGTAGCAGGGTGAATAAGAAATGCTGGTGGTGTGCTTTCCTGCTGTCTATATGGTAATAAAGGGCAGACTTCAGTGATGAAGTTCATCCTTGGTTCCCTGGTAATTCTGTACAAGGCATAGGAGGAAAAATGTGTTTTATTATTCTGAATGACAGAATAACTCTTGAATGGTTTTCCAGAGCTCATCTGGAAGAGAAATTATTTTTTGCAGATTCTGCTAGCACAAAACTCCGCTCTTCAAACATGAATAACCCAAATTACTCCTTAACAGATTATTTAGAAAGAAAATGGCCATAAAGGTGTTCCTAAGGAAGGCACCCATCCCTGTGTGCTTGTTGATAGCTTGTGCTTTGCATGTTGTCTGCGTTCGGGTTTGGCATTGCAATGGGCAGTTCATGGGTTGTAGCCGTAGCAGAGGTGAGGTGCTGGCTGGGCACTGGGGCACTGGGAAGGCTTGTAGAGGCTCTCTGATATCAGTGTTATTTCTATATTGCATGGAAACATCAGAAAAGGAGGAGATGTGTATTGCAGCATCACTGCCCGATGCTTTCCTGCTGCTGTGGTTTCACGTCGTGCTTGGGAGTTACCTCCATCCTGTCCTAACAGTTGGACTAAAAGTTCCAGATTTGTCCTGTTGCTGTTTGCCATTTGCAGTGAGGCCTGTCATGTCCCTGAGTATATCTTTTTTTTTTTTTTTTCCTTTCTAAAGAATGTATTATTTTTGCTTCTTTTCCATTTGCATTGGAAGTACAATGACAGAAATGCAGGCCATTATCCCAGGTTTCATTAATCATAATTCTTTCTCATTACTGGTTTTTCTTTTTATATTAGGAGGCTAAACAGTACCCAAGGTGAAATCAGAGTTGGACCCAGTCATCAGGTAAGGGATTTTGTTTGTACTTGAATAGCTGCAGGACATGCTGCTAGGCACTCACCCTGTTCAGTGCACACTCACTTAGAATTGCATACACTCAAAGACAACGAGCTTCTGAGATTAATCATGAGTTCCTCAGAACTCCTTAGCTAACGAGATTATTCAATGTCAAATGTTGCTACTTATATGTTTTTTTTTAACTAGTGAAAGTGTTGTTGGATCGATTCCAGAATCAGATTGAAGGAATCTAAATAGCTGCTGGAAGGTAGGAAGAAAAGGCAGCAGAAAGCAGCTTTCGTGGGCACATCATGGAGATAGGAGTGAATGCATTCTCAGCTAACTTTCACCAAGCACTATGTTAGTAAATTACTGAAGAATGTTTTAGTATTGGTTTCTAATTATATTCAAAGTAGTTCTTTTAATTTTCATTGCACAGTAAAATAGTTGAGTGAGGAGAATGCTGCCTGTGACATTTGAAGTTCTCTGGAGTCAGCGGAGAACAAAATGAAGTATTAGAAGTGAATAAAGAGAGAGCAGGTTTTTGAGAAACACATGATGAATTTACAGGCTTGGGAGACTTTAAACCTGCTGAAGATTTTCCTGAACCATGAGTGTTTTGAGATACACCTGCATGTGTCCATCTATCAACACAGGACACAGGCGTGCCCGTTGTTAGAGCTTCCCTAGTGCAGAATTCCCTGTGCATTTGTTCTCCCTTCTTTGTGTGTGGCTGTGCTCCGTGCAGGGCTGCCTGTGGCTTTGCATCTCCTCCTTGACCTGTGCTTTTGTTTGCAGCCTGTGCATGCTCCCTTCATTTGTCTGCATGTCCAGCAGAGATCGAGCAACCGTGGTGCTTCAGCACAGAACTCAGTGGGACCGTTGTGTATTTAAAGAGAGCAGTGTGGCAGCTGCCAGGGATAGACCTCTTTCTAAACAAGCCCCACGTGCTAGCAGCACTGTTCTGTTGCCTTCTCCTTTCAGGCAGGAGGTTTGCTGCTGCCCACCTCATCATTTGGATGTAGAAGAGCCTAAATTCTTTTCAGCTGGGAGGCATGGCGATTCTGGGGGGTCGCTGCCATGTGTCACTTACATGCACACTCAATAGAAAGCCACATTTTATATCTTACTTGTATTTCTCAGAAACTTTTTATGTAATTATAAAAAAAAAAAGGTACTGTCCAAGTGCTGTATTTCTGCATCCACATGTTTAGTGTTCATTTTCAATCTTGTTTAACAACTGTTGATAGGAAACGTTTGTAGAACTCATGTGACATCCTCCAGGGTGCTTTGTAAGAGGAGAAGAGTTCTTGGCAATTGAATCTGTATTATTATTTTCATTAGTCATAACAAGAGTGCTGTAAACGATACCTCCAAAACGACTCTGATTTCAAATTGTGTAATATTTTGGCAGGTAGCAATCAGGCGTGCTGTGAGGTGTAATTATCAGGTGCAGGTATGGATGGAAAAATATGTAGAAGGAAGGTCCACTGATACAGAATACTTCTGCTGGCTCAGTTTTTTAAACTTCCATACTTGTTTTATTCCTGTTCTGAGTGTTGCTGGGTGATGTCACCTCCAGGAGGTTCTTCAGCTGTTCCTTAGCAAGAAGTTTAATCTTCAAGGTAGCAGTGGTTGGATTTGGCTTCGTATGTGCAGATCCAGAAGCATCCATAACCAAACCTGAGGTCCTAGGAGTGGGTTCTGCCTTCCTTCTCCTTACGTGGTGGTGCAGAGGGTAGGGGGCTGCTCCTTTTGACACACAGCATGCAGATACCTTAAGCTCATACCATGCCAGCAGGTAGGGATGCATGTAAAGGCTTCAGAGAGCTGTGTTGATCCAAGTTTTGTGAAGGGGAGGAGAGGGGTGGTGGATCTCCATTCAGTGTTCTAAGAAAACCTCTGGCTAGCAGCTAACCAGAGGTGTTCACAAGGAAGCCTCTCTTAGGAGCATCTCTATGTTCAGCTTGTTCCAAGGGCACAGAAGGATGAGCAGGTGTTGGTGGAAGCACCTTGGTGCTGGAAGGCAGTTGCCAGCATGCAGAGCTCTCAGAAATCAGCCTCGTGCTGCTATAATGCTTGCTTGTAATGAGTCTCTTCCAGAAGAGAAGGTCAGCGACGTGCCCACTTGCCCAAGGAAGAAGTAAAATAAAGTACAGATTAAAGAGCAGAACATGAAAGACATCTGAACCTGTGACTTGTAATTACTGGTTACGTGTAAATGTTGCTTTTCAAATATGTTTAGTGCTGTAAGTATAGGAGGTAATTATAGGGCTTAAAAGCTGTTTCTGAGGAGGCTCTCAGCTATCTCATCCCATTGCAGTAGATGACTAAAGATGCTAATTGGGTCTCTGCATGCAGTGTAATGCTTAGTGGCAGAGTTCGTTTCACTGAGCTATCTCACTTTCACAGAATTTCTTTTTCACTTTGAGTTCTTGTTAATTTACTGAGGACTTTGTTTTCAACTCCACATCAGATGTGTGGCGTATTTTTGACTGAGGTATTAAAATAAAACACATGGGAGCCACGTTCTTGCCTTATTTCATGTTGGTACCTTGGTGCCTGGCAAGCAGAGTTGCAACAGCACCTTTTGGACAAGACAAAGCTGTCCTTCCCAGTGAATTGTCAAACAGCATTTGAGTTTTGTATAGCAAGGACTACATATGTGACACACAGTGTTAACAACTGTAATGTCTGTATGAACTCTTTTTTTTTTCTCCCAGGCTAAGCTTCCTGATCTGCAGCCCTTTCCTTCCCCAGATGGTGACACAGTGACACAGCATGAAGAACTTGTGTGGATGCCAGGAGTCAACGACTGTGACTTACTTATGTATCTTAGGGCAGCAAGGTAATTACAGCCAAGAGATTCCCATGTCTTTAGGATGGACGTGTGGGCTGCCACATCTCTGCAGCAGTTGACTGTGGCCGTTCCTTTTTGTTAGATTTTGGTTCAGTGTGGATGTTAACTGTGCAATACAAGGATGTGCTGGTTTGGTGATCGGCCAACACAGAATCTTGCTGTTGGCTGTGACTTGTGGATTGTAAACCCACAGCCAGCAGCATGTGCAGCATGCTGGTGAAAACACATGCTATAGCACAACTGCTAATTGTGGATTAACTGTGACAGCATAGATAGGATCCCTCAAAGGTTTGGTTTTTTTTTTTGAATGAGCCTTAATTTGTGTTTCAGTCGTATGCAGACCTCTGACATGCCTGCTAGATTTACCACATAAATAAATATTTGACTTCTAATGCTAGTGGGCCTCATAATTCAGAATTGTGAGTAAATGAGTTGTTATTCATTTGCAAGAATGTAGAGATGTCAAGAACGTGCAATTGAAGTCAGCTTCATAACATAATACAACTAAATTAGCAATAGCAAGTTTGCTGTCTTTGGCAAGACCATGCCCTCATGCCTATAGCCTCTATCTCTCATAATTCTAATCAGTCCGTGGTGCTAGTGCAGTGGAGATTCTTTAATTAATATAACCCACTTTACATTGGAGTTATTTCCTACACTGAGGTGACATGGATCTGCATACCAAATGGCAGTGTTCATGTGATGCCTCGTTTTACTTAATTGTTTCTGCAGTATGTCAAGGCCTTGAAATTTGTGATTTAAGGTGTAAATATACTGCTTGTGTATTGCATGACATGTACATCAGACAGAAGCTGAATAAAATTTCAATTTTTTTTCCCCTCGAACTATAAAGGAGCATGGCAGCTTTTGCAGGCATGTGTGATGGAGGATCCACAGAAGATGGTTGTGTTGCAGCCTCCCGTGATGACACTACCCTTAATGCACTCAATACAGTAAGTATACAGAGCTCCTGTCAGGAAGAGCAGTCTTCCCATTTATTTCTTGAATACTTTAAGCAAGTAATGCATGAAATCTTCAGTGGCTAAAGTAGATTTAGGGATCACAATATGAGTATGATATTGGCTTAACGCTGAACTTTTTTCAAAGGCAGCCTACATTTCAAAGACCTTAACCTACGGTGACAAACTTTTAAGATGAACATGTGGATGTTCATTATGGGAAGCCACTGGAGCCAATTACAACAGCTGAGTGGCTGCTCACCCAGCTGACCCTTGCCCTGGCTGTTGTTCATTCAGCCCAGCTTTTAGCTGTAGGAGAACGAAGGTTATTTCACAGAATCATAGAATCCTCGGAGTTGGAAGGGGCCTCTGAAGCCATCTAGTCCAACTGCCCTGCAATGAACAGGGATAGCACAGCCCCATCAGGTTGCCTAGGGTCTTAATCAGCCTCACTTTGAAAGTCTCCAGGGAGGGGGCATCAACCACATCTCTGGGCAACCTCTTCCAGTGCCTCCCCCCCTCACTGTAAGAGATTTTTTCCTTATCTTGGGCTTGGCCAGCTGAAATCTGTCCTGTTTTCATGGTTAAGGGCTACATCTCTCATCACATCCACTTGTGAAAACTGTGGAGAGGATGGGATGTGCCTGTTGCTTAATGAGTTTCTACCTAAATCTGTAGAGCATTTTAAAGGCAGTGGCAATGGAAATGTACAGAGCCTGTGTACAGCTGGTGGGGCTGGGAGCAGCTTCGGTTCAGCGTGTTTTTTGTGGAAGTGCCAAGGGAGGATATGATGTGTGGCTTCAGATTTGTTTTTAAAGCCATCCTTTCCTAAAAATAGTTTGAAGCATATTCTGTCTCGGTGTCCAGCACTGTGACTCATATGTCACCTTGCTCACAATGTCTGTGGCTCAAATAAATTATTTTAATTAGATGAAAATAGAGCACCTAGTGATACCAACCAAACCCCATGATGCTGTCCTCCTGCATAGTGGCTGATGTTAAGTACCACACTGTTATGTCTGCCTCTGTTTGCTGGGGTTTAATTATTTACAGTTGCATCACTTTAGCTGTTAATTTATAAGATTCTTAAAAGCTTGCGGACAGGTGTGATGCCCATCAGGAATTGAGTGATGATCATTGCAACAAAGACCAAATAATCTGTTTGTTTAGAGAAAGGGTATTGTAAGCATGTTGGTCTTCGCTTTTATTCAAGTGAGTGGAGCTGAATATATCAAATTAATCACTGCTGTTAAATATTCTTTACTGCTTCTTTCAGTAAAGCATCTCAGTACACGAGACTTGTATTCAGAACATTAAAACAAGGCAGTCTGTGCAAGCTGTACACCAGCAGCCAGGTGCTCAGGTCCATGATGAGGATGTTGGGTCTGTGATTAGGTGTTCAGAACTCAGTATCCACACTCTTGTTAAAATGCTGCATTCTTAATGTGAATATCATTGCTTGTGTAAGATTAGCTTACCAAAAACACTTGCTTTGTTTAGATTTTATTTCCGTTTGCATTTAATTGCATGCATTTTGTGGAGTGCATCAGTTTGGTTTCTTGTAACAGATGAGGGTGGAAGAGAATTGAGATCTAAAATAACTTCTGTAGTGTTCATAAAAGGCAGCAGCACTTTAATTCTTATTCTGCAGGATTATTTAAATACAGTCAATACACTCGTGTGTAACCAGCTGAAATCTAAGATGAATTTTTGTACCCCAATTAAATGCTTTTTTGTTCTCACTTCTAGATCTGCAGAGTCAAGTGTTATTTCTTCAGAGTGCACTTCAGAACTGAGACAAATACATAAATCTCAGTCCTTTGCTCCTTGAGACAACCAGCGTGTTAGAGATTGTGCTGCTGGTTGAGAGGAATTGCTGTTAAGTCTGTATTCTGCCTCCTCTTCAGTTTCTCATCTGCTTTACATTTTGTTTCCTTCCTTCCCCTTGGGATGGGTGCCATCTGGTTCTGGTGGCTTACTGCTCCCAAGCATTCTGAGTTGTTCCCTGACATCCTTCTTAGAGACTCAAATCTCTGTTAAGGCCAATAATCATCAAAGAGCTTTCGGAATTGGAATTTCTTTCCCCTTGTCATCTATAATAAAAGACTACTGCAGAAAATTCATTTAACTTCACTGCTTCACTATCGAGTTTAATTAGCCCCCTTAATCCCTTGGGAGCTGTGGAGCTGTAGTTGTACTTGTAGACTTCTTCATCTGAGTCTTCCATTCATCCTGATAGATTTTATTTCTGTTCTTCCGATCCTTTTCTCTCTGTATTTCTGGTGCACGTCTATTTTAGAAAATCAGTGCTGATTCATCTCAGGAGTGGGGGAGAGTTTCACACTTCTGAAGTAAAAGCATTACACAGACTCGCAGTGTAACTCATTTAAGAAGCTAGATTGTCTTTTGGCAGAATTCTTTTGACTCTATTATGACTTCCCTCACACATCACATCTTATAGCAGCAAGGCTTTAAGGCTCACCCTGTAGTGGTTTTCTAGTCATCTCATGGTAACCTGAACAGCAAAGTCCTTAGGCTTGTGTGATGTTTGATTTAATCCTGCTTGTGGTCTGTGCACAAGTGTTGTTATTACCTCTCCTTCCTCACATTAAAGTTTTCTGGAGAAATGCTTTCCTATGGGTGAGAATGTTTATGGAAGTCAGTGATTGCTCAGTCCACTCTTTTGCCAACAGAATGGTTTAGGTGGGCAATTTGTTGTTCTGACAAAACGGTACCTCTTCTGTCTTTCTGTTCTCTTTAAAACAAGCATCAGATTTATCTGATAAATAACTTCTGAGAAAATTACCCTGCACTAAGTTGTGTTTTTGTTTAGAAATTATGGTGTGTAACCCAGCAGATTAATGGAAACAAATTGATACGGCATGATTTCTTATTATGGAAATCCAATAAACTTCAGAGCAGCACTTCATATAAATCAATCTTGACAAGCTACTTTGGTAGTGTTTTATTTCTGTAATAACAGCTGCAGTAGCCCCTGGAATGATTTATCATTAATTATAGCAGATAGAAATGAAGATCATGGAAGGCACAGTGCAATGTATATGTGTACATATCAGCTCGTTGAGGTGATGATTCTTAATGTTCCAGGTAGGCTCCAACTCCTGCTCTCTGGTTTGGCTGTTGGGGTTTTGTAGCCCTTGGGGAGGAGGTTTTCCTTTGGGGTTTGTTGCCCTCCTGGTGGGTGCTGGTGGTCACACCAGGTGGAGGACGTGGCAGGTCCTGGAAGTCTTTGACTTGGATTTTTTGGTATCAAGAGTGGGGGCTTTTTTATTGCACAGCCATAGACCAGGCAGCTGAATACAGACTTTATAACGTGTGTATTTATCTTTTATTTATACTCATAAATAATTTTTTTGATCTACTGAACCCTAATATATTAGTCACCTAAGGTGCATATTCTGTGAACTTCTTGTTTTCCTGTTTCAGAATTGAACTAATAATGCATGAAACCATTTTTATTAGTGAAATGTTAGGTGATGGAAACTTTTTTTTTTAATAACTTCTCAGTTCCTTTTACCTTGAGATCTGCAGAACCACATTGCTTTGAGCCAGAACCCTCCTAAATAAGTGAAATGGAAATGGTAATTTGAGTTTTTCTCAAGCCTTGCTTTGAGTCACTGTGGCAACGTATTGTATTCTCAGAGCCAGCATGGTTGGTGTGAAAGTTTTATAATTAATACTCTGTAGTAATGCATTTTGTCTCCTTTAGTCCTTCTGGACTGGGAGTGCAGGTAGGCATCACCCATCATAGCATCACAGCACCATCATGAAGCCCCCAAGAACCCCATCTGCATGTGATATCTGTGGGGATCACTGAAAATCATGCAGGATGGCCAGCACTTAGTGAGCCAATTGCTTTGTCAGTTCCACACTAACTGAAATGAGGAACTCCTTAGCAATCATCCCCTTTCTATGTCAGGCCAGTTTAATTAATTGTCTTATTTTGCTCAGTGTTTGCAAGTGCATGGCCTTACCCTAATGATGTGTTTGTTGTGGGAAAGCATCTAGTGCTGCTTGGTTCTCCACTGTACGAGGAAGAAAACGTTGTGGAATTGGTTTTTTAAGTGCCCAGCTGTGATGCCAGTAAGTTTTACTTGTGGATCAATGTCTCTGAACACATACATGTAGCATGGCCCACCTGTCATGCAGAGTTCCAGATCATAATTCATTCTCAGGGTTCTGCCTTCACTGCTGCTGTGACTGGGGGCGCACATCACATGCTCCATGGCTTTGGGCAGCTCAGCCTGGCTTGTCTCCTGATGCTATGGGTCCTCTGTCCCTGTGCTGTACTCCTGTGGTGGGGAAATGAGTGGCATTAGAGCAGGGAGAAGTGAGGGAATCAGTTCTATGGGCCCTAGAAAAACAACTGGGAATATCATTATGTGAACTGTCCCTAGGAGTGAGTCAGAGTTTGTGTCATTTCTCAGTGCATGTTATTTACTGGGAAAATGCTCATAGGGTAGGAAGGGACCAGCACCTGGGTTTGTGTCCTGCTGCGTGGAGGGAAGATGAAGCAATCATCAGCTGGTGCTGTGCAGATCTCTTTGCTAATAATGTTGTTCTGACTTCTCGTAACACTGTGTTACATGGGAGCATGTCACTGTGAGTGACAAATGTGACAGTGTAATATCAGTGGTAGGAAATACAGTTCGAAGCAAGATGTCACCCAGACAAATTACTCCCTGCTTTAACTTGCCCTTGGACAAGATTTTCTTGTTCATTAACTACAGACAAGGTTGAAAGCATTAAAAATTACTTAAATACATGTTAGCATTTCTTCTTATTATTAGTTTTTCTTTTGGATGAGTCTGTGTTCCCAGCTGCTGGGGTGATGCTGTGCAGTGCCTGGTGTGCTGGGATCACAGCCCCTCTGGTGTGTGAGTTATGCTCATCCTTAGCCTTGCACTTAGGGAAAAAGTCCATGTAAAATCCCAGAGCTGGGGTGGCACCATGGATGGCCAAGCAGGGTCCCT